ACATTACTTATGAACAATGCCACCGAACCGTGGGGCGCACCTTTGGTTTCTCCCCCAGAGTCGTCACATGGACTTACATGGCCATCCTAAGACTTATTCTAACATACGGTGCAGTTGTCTGGGTACCGAAAATCCAAAAATTGATAGCTATCCACAAAATAGAACAAATTCAAATAACAGCCTATCTCAAAATAACAGGAGTCATGAAAACCACACCAACCAGAGCCGTGGAAGTCGTTCTTAGTCTCACTCCCCTTGGTATTTACATCAATAAGGAGGTTGCTCTGATGAGAATGACACACTTCTGCACGGTTGGAATAGAACCTGATGTACGATCTGGTGAGGCAAGGCGTCACTTGCTTCAAGCAAACATGAACAAATAGAAATGCCAGAATTGGCAGGTACGATTCATATCTACACCGATGGTTCTAAAACAAGACAATCCTGAGGATAAGAAATAAACTCCAATTCCTTAAACCTCAACATAAAATGAGCTCTGAGAAATAGTGCCACTGTAGTTCATGGAGCTCACGGAGGTTCTCATAGCAGCAAAATAAATCACCAGAAACAATATTACTGGTAGGAACATGCTCATTTATACAGACAGCAGATAAGCACTATTTGCTCTGAACAGACTACGAATTTACTCAGGGTTAGTACCTACTAGAATGTCACGAAGCTTTAATAAGAGTATCCATCCAACAATGTGGTCGCCTTGAGATGAATCAAAGGTGATGCCACATCGAAAGGTAGCCTCTTATTGCTGATTCACTAGTCAAGAAGGCGGCCAATTAAATATTTTTGGACCGGGCCTTTCTATTGGACTGACAACATCAGTAGTGACAGACCTAATTAAAGAATATTCCCTTGTGAAATTGAAGGAAAGATGAGATGAAACAAAATACTGCTGAGTTACCAGGGATCTTTTAAGTTATCCTGACAATACTGGAACAAACAAATACTTGAATATGACTAGACAGAATCTGCATCTGATCACAGGCATTCTGACTGGTCATTGCTAAGTACGGAAGCATATCCATATCATAGGGCTGTCAGAATCCACACCCTGCATGGGGTGCGAACAAAAAGATGAAACCATTGAACATATCCTTTACGATTGCCCGTAGCTCTCATTTATTAGAAGATTTATTTTTGACGATATTGGCTAACACCGGCCGATATAAGAGAAGCACCTCTTGGCGACATTGTCAACTACATTAAATCTGTAGGCTGGCTCACGGGCTAGGAGGTGCCTATAATTTTAGGAGGATACACAATGGGCCTAGTGAAGCTTAAGTGCCGTGGGGTTACCCACCCTCTACATATTACATATCAAGAAGTATTGTAGGTAGCTGTAAATGAATTTCGATTGCATCCTGATAGCAGCGACTTGATTCCTCGAAGTGAGTTTGTCATGTATTTTAATTATTGTTTGGTACTATAGTTAATTTACTGTTTTAATTCGAATGGTTTTCAAAACAAAAAAAACATATTTAAATAAAAGACTAAGAAATTAAACAAGAACGTTCAATAAAATTTACGAATACCACAATGTATTTTTTTATGTAATACAAATTTTAAAACTATCAAATTTCTAATTACTACTTAGTTGAATACAACTACTGAACTATACTGCAATTTTTACAAAATGCTAACAATAATATACCAAACGTTGCTTTACTTATATTGACAGCTATATTTGACGTTAAACCACCTCTAAAACACTGAGAAAACTTGTCAGTTTTTTGTCCACGAATCGCCCATTTAGTTTCGCTTCTTGGGTAGGTATTCTTTGCTTATTCTGAAAAGTAATATATAAAAACTCTCGCACTTTTCGACTAATGATAGGCCCAGATTTATATTTTTTAATACGCAACTTTATTTATTTCGAGGTCATCAGCATGGCCACCCAGCTAAATCATTGATTTTTCGTTTTTTTTTCTTCATATATTTATTTTTGATTTTTTTTTAAAAAGGTTATATATTTGAAAATAAAATTTACTTGAATAGTTATGTACTTTAAAAAAATTGAGTTATATAGAAGTAATTTATTTGAAAAAGTAATTTATTTGAAAAAGTAATTTATTTGAAAAGTTATTTATTTGAAAACGTTATTTATTTGAAATATTTATTTATTTGAAATATTTATTCATTTGAAATATTTATTTATTTGAAATACCTATTTATTTAAAATATTTATTTATTTAAAATATTTATTTATTTAAACAATTTATTAATTTTAAAAGTTATTTATTTCAAAAAGTTAAGTTTAGCCTGAGACGGCGCTTGGCCCGAATCGGCACATAAAACTGCCGTCTAGGAATCTCGACAGCCAATGTCGTGATGGTCTAGAGCAGGCCTGCATAACTCAGATTTTCAAAGTGCCAGTTTGTGAAACCGTAAGTGTACAAGGCCAAGAGAGACCTGAGCAAAAAGGTCCTCACGTTATAATTCCGCCGAGCTTTTATGAAAAAAGATCGTCAGCCTGAATGTAAGTTTGTTACTTAAAAATGTTTAGTTTGAGGTAGGCGGGCCAAACTAGTCAACGGTCAACGGGCCGCCAAAACGACAATGGCAAGCCGCATGCGGCTCGCATGTTGTACAGGCTTCGTCTAGAGCTGGGGCATTTGTGTACAAAACAAAGGTGTCTAGGTTTAACTCATAGCAACTACAGGCTTATTTTCAAATCTCCAAGTATTTGTTTTTACCTTTGCGGTTCGGGGATGGTCTTAATTATTCGTAAGGGGATTTTTGAGGTTTGTTTCCAAATTTTATAATTATTTCTAGTTAAGTTATTTATTTGAATAAATTATTTATTTGAAAAGTTAGGTATTTATTATTATTGTGAGAAAGTTATTTATTTGAAAAGATAGCAATTTATTTGGAAAGTTATTTATTTAAAAAAGTTATTTACCTATTTGAAAACTTTGAAATTACCCTGTATAGAATGAACATAAATATTGTCAGAAATTCGCTGATGACCACTGTGGGATCTCGAAAATCGTAGAAAATATTTCAATTAAATTGTTATATCCTTCCGCAAATTGATAGTCTGTCACAATAGACAAAAAATCTAAAACTTCTAAAAGATATAATTTAGGCAACACCGCCGGGCTTCTAATAAACTATGAGATACATATCTTGTTAAATATATAAATATTACAATTTTATTTTATTTCCAATGGTATCAATTTCAGGGACATACTTTTTGTCGGTAGGGCGCGCCACTTTTGAAGAAATACTCGTTAAATTAATTATTATTTGTAAATTAAGGTAGTTCACTCGTAAAACGGCCTTTCTTAAGAATTCAATAAAATTGAAATATGAGGTTAATGAAAGTGTACCTAAAAAAAATAAAATTTTTTGATCGTCTGTAAAACGAGATATTAACAATCAAAATGTGCATAATTAACACTCTTGAAGCTCTGTCATGTACAGAATCATTGCATTTATTTCAAGATATCTCGAAAACAGTTCTTACCATATTTTTTAAAAACTAATGTAATGTAAATCAAGAAGTTATAAAATTTTCTAAAAAAACGCTGAATTTTTTTACCGTTTTGATAAAGAAATATAGATTTTTAAAATAAAAATGTTCTTAATGCAGTCGACGCATAGTGGTGTATTGTGATTACAACTTGGCAACGTTGTAATCGATACACTCAACGCCCGCTTATTCAAATGTCTGTTAGAGCAGTGCTTCCCAACCTTTTTATTGCCGCGTACAGGTCAAGTTTATCACTTTATCGAGGCATTCTGGGAAGGGACGTTGTTTATACTTTAGGTTGATATGATTTAACAATTTAAATTTAATTGTATTTAAACATGTCTTCAAAATTAAATAAATATGCAAAAGATGAATTTAATTTTATAATACAAATACAAATAAAAGTAATGATTTTCTGTAGTATTGATGATGTCGTAGGAACGTTCATGACAGCAAGAAATTTATTTAAAGCAGTTTGACCAAACCCTGAATAATGGACAGCACCTTTAAATAAATAAAATTATATGAATTATAATAAAAAAATTATAAACATAAATACTTATGTATTTTTTTAAATTTACCTAGAACTGCTTTAGTGTTAACATCTGAATGCTTAACTTCACTTTTTGTTGCATGAACTTTGTCCGTAGGTACTATAGTTTCAATATTACATTTATTACATTTAACATTTAAAATTGAATAAAGGCCCTTTCGTGTTTCATTTGTAATATTTTCAAGAGAAAGAACTCGTTCACACCAGCAACATTTTAAATGTTCTCCCAACTCTAGTAATTTCACGATACGACCACTGCACAGGTTATTTTTCAAGCTTGGGGTTTCCTTTCTCAATTTTTTTGCATTATTCATAGCCAAAATTGATTTTTTGCGTTTGTTGAAGACGTTCTGCTTAACAAATTTTCCTTTATCTGGCAATTAATTGATCCCGACAATGAAACATTTTGATATTTACATTTATTTTACTTTAGGAATACAGTTGACGTTTTTCAATATATATATGCGACGTTGCCGGATGGATTTTACGCGATATAATACCATATTTGTATATAGGATCACATGTGTTGTGTGTACAGTCTGTTACAAAAATAACCTTTCTTTAGATTTAAGAATCTTGAACGGTTGGTATTCACTATAGGGCGATATTTTTGTGTACGACTGTCGCGAGTGAACTAACTTAAACAAATTTATTAATCAAGCATTTGTTAGAAACAAATTTTTAATATTATTTAGAGGTTACTCACTTTCGGTGCTTTAAATAAAGCCATTTTTCCTAAATTCTCATTTGCCTTTCGGTATGTCCTGAATATTTGCACAGCCACTGGCAGAAAAAAGAACTAAGATCTGGATTTAATATTTGGTACATGAATCCTAGAAAAAAGCCTATACCGTTCAGACTCCTTGTATCTATACTTCGTGATTAAAGGTTTTAAATCGATTGGATTTGCTCTGTCATTATGCACGTTAATGAGAGATGCACCATTTAAGCTGTTTTGTGTCATTCTTGATCTAAATATGTTTCAAGTCTTCTCAGGGCAGAAAAGGAGCGCTCTGGGGTGCATGAGGTAACAGGAATGGTAAGTATAATTTTAATAAACTGAACACATTCGGAAGAGAGTTTTAACATAAAATCGTTCTCTTCTTGTTTCAAAATGTTTGTTATATCAGATATGCAAGAAACTTTGATATTTCTGCTTTTTAAGTTATCTAAAAACGTATTTCTATGCAATTTCAGTCGCTCAGATTCAACATCAGATTTGTAAAATTCGGAAACGTATTCTGAGTCGTCATCTTCTCCAATAACGAATTTTTCAAGAAGATTTAAATGCGTCATTGCTTCACTTGAAAATATATTTGAAAGGCCTGAAATATCACGTGGTAAACAGGGACTCTCTATATCAAAATTTCCTGCAAATGAAAGAGATTCTTCCCAGACCGCATTGAAATTATCTCTTAATTTTTTTTAAAAAGAACTAATTGAAACAACAGAAGAACTAGATTCGGAAAATTGCAGTTTATAGTTTTGAAATACGGCATTTAAAAATTTAAAAGTTTTTTGAAAACCTTTAAAATATCTTTCATAAGAAATACTGTTTGGAACGTACCTATATAATTTAAAAATTGAAGGGAAATAGATACGATATGCGATGCAGCAAATATTTCGTTACGTTCTGCTAAGCCTTCTGTTTATTTTTATTTGATGTAAATAACAAAGCGCATCTAAATACGGAACACATTTCAATTAAATTAATTTATTAATTAGTAAAAAAAAAATATTATTTTATTGATTATGCAAAAATGAATCTGTGTTTAAGTAACCGCAGTTAGTTAATGTTCTGATTATGGCTGCCACTAAGCAACTACAGAAATTTTAAAGGTTTTATTTTAACGTTTTTCCGGGGGGGCCTTAACCCCCGGGCCCCCCATAGTCGGCGCCTATGACCTCAATTAGAATACGTAGGTCATATATTTCTTTTGATATAATAATAATAATAATAATAAAAACGTCTTTATTATTTCCAATAAATACAATTAACATAATTAATGACAAAATATAGCAGATTGAAAATAAAGGGCGAAGTTTATTTTTGATTATGTTATTGGACACAATCAAAAATATTCTTCCACTCAACCCTAAAAATGTGTAATAGGTATATTGGTTTTGTTTTATAATTAGATAAGTATAATTTGCAATAAATTTTCAATAAAAAAAATTGATAGGACTGCAATGATAGGACTGCAAAGTGTAACATGGGCAGCATCAAGCTATATGTTGATATAAAAATAAAAAAAACTAATTATAAAATTGTTAACTTTATCACTGAGCGTCTAAGAGATTTTGTTTCATTTTTAATTTAAATTTTGAAATACTACAATTTTTTAATTCTGGTAAGACTTGGTTATATAAATAGCAAATTTGGTAACTATATGAAAAACTCCGTGATGAAAGCAGGAACAGTCAACAATCCTTTGTTTCTTATATTTAAGTTATGAACGTCAGAACGATAAGTTATTTTACGATGTAGATAGGGTGGATTTTTACTCACTATTATTTTATGACACAAAGAGATAAAATGTAGTTTTCTCCTGTCCTCCATATTCAACCATCCAGCTTGACTTATTTTGTGAGATATTCTACAACGCCTTCTTATGCCAAAAATCATACGTAAACAAGAATTCTGAACTTTTTGTATTTTATTCTGATAGCTCACAATTAAGTTCGGACCGTAAACGGCATCCGCATAATTGAATAGAGATAAAACTAATGTTTCACAGAGTTGTTTCTTTACAAAAATAGGAAACAAATGACGGTTTCCATAAATCATTTTAATATTACAATAAGCACGTTGTATTAACTTATTTATATGTCTCTCAAACCTTAAATCAGAATCGATTATTATTACTCCCAAGTTTTTTGCTTCACTTACCAGTTCTAGTTTTTCATTATTGATTTCAATATTTATTGAATTCATTACATTTTGTTTATGATATTTACTACCGAATAACATTACTTTTGATTTTACTGGGTTAATAAGAAGACAGTGCTCAGTTGCACAATCAATAAATGATTTTAAATTATTATTAATAACATCACAAGCAGCCTCCACCTCATGGGGATCAAAACTGTGGTATAACTGAGTATCGTCAGCATATAAGTGAACATTGCAATTTTGGATTTTGTTTAAGAGGTGAGAAGAATATATCGAAAACAACAATGGACCAAGTATGGAGCCTTGCGGAACACCTGATCTTAATGTTAAATATTCTGAATTAATATTATTTATACGAACTTGTTGTTCCCTACATTTAAGATAATTTTCTATTAGAGAACACGCATTGTTTGAAAATCCCAAATATTTTAACATACAAATCAACAAATCATAGTGAATGGTGTCAAAAGCTCTACTGAAATCTAGCATAACTAAAACTGTGCATTTACTCCTATCAGTGGCTCGGAAGATGTCATCAATAATGTGGAGCAAAGCAGTAGTACAACTGAAACCCTTTCGAAAGCCAGACTGAACTACAGGAAGTAGTGCGTGAGTGCTCAGGTAATCTTTAATTTGTATTTCCAGAGTTCTTTCTAAAATTTTAGATAATGTAGGCAATATACTTATATGTTACCTACTATTCTGCGTAAATTATCTAAGATTAGATAATAATGTTTATTTACAGATAATTTGTTTTTACAGATATATTTTTTTACATTACCTACTTAAATTTAAATATATTTTTCTACACATTTTTAAAAAATATATAAATACAATTAATATGCTAAAATAGTGATAATTGTGAATAAACACAATTGACCCATAAACTCTGAGGGTTGTACATGAAATAATTCAACACATAAATTTCAAGGTCTATTCATAAAAAATGATCATTTTACTGTTATGATCACAATTTTAATAAAATAGTATTAACCTAATTTCCGTCGTAGAAACTCATTGAAATCCCCCAATTTTTTATGTAATTTTTGTCCGTTGATGTCGTCGGCGTCTAGATTCGCATCGGCGTCGCATTGCCATGCCATCAGAGCTACCCTTGACTCAGAATTCGACCCCTTCTCGTTTAATGTACCACACCCTGCGCCAAGCCTTCTTCTAAGGGCAGAAATATTTTATATAGACCAGGAGAAATTGAAAAAATTTTAATTACTTCTTGAAATATTTTTGCGACTAAAGTTTAAATACGAGAAAATTAATTTATTTTCAATCAACTGAATTTAATTTCGGCCTCAGCTTCGAGAAAACGGCTTTATAAATGGTACAAATAAAATATTAAACATTAATAAAAAATTCTCAATAATTTAACAATGAATACAATTAAATATAGTATATTACATTATGAATTTAAAAAATCACTTTTGCACAATCAATATATATAATATTTATCCTACGACCACAAAATATTTTCATTAAAAAATGTAAAACCAGGAAATTTGGCTATGAAGGTACAACAAATAATAAGATGAACAACTCTGAACAAGAACTTTTTGTTAGTATTTAAGATGATATCTCCCAAATAACATTTTTAGGAGAATAAAGTTTTATTTATGTTTTATTATGGTTTTGTAAAAGCATAAAAATTAATAATTATTTTATTACAGTTATTTTTTTTGCTAATAGGACTGCAGGATAAATTGATCTTATTACTTGGTGTTATAGATTCCTATAAACTAGTTTATCCTAAACTAAACTATGCTTTATCGCTGTCATATAAAGGTTAATTAATAAGTAATTTTAGAACTATTTAGTTTGAAGATACTCCTAAGGTGTGTTTGGTGTTAAAGAGGCAAAATTTTGAGCAGTTATCTTAAGTAGGTTTTAAAACTGAGTTTTAAAAATTGTTTTAGGATTATACTTTAAATTAAATTGATCCTAGAACCTTTTAGGTACATTTTCTACAATTTTTACAACATAACTCTTATAATTTATTTAATCTAGTAAATGATAGGGCTCTTTTAAAATTACATAGTTTTAATAAGTTTGTTTTAGAGCATAACCTAACTTTTTAACCCATTCACATTATGTTGACTTTGAAAGATAAATTGTTCAAAATAAAGAAAAGTGGTAATTTCCATAGAGAATGAAAAAAAATGTATATGTTTCTCCTTATCCATTGTTTAACAAATACCAAATAAACATTCCGAGGTTCCTAATATTCTGGAAATGATCAGAGAATGTGAAAAATGGTTATTATATTATTACTAATTTTTATATTTTGATTGACTTATTCATAGAGTAAAGTGAAGTTAGGTTATGCCCTTCTGATTGAACTTATGAATGTTTTATTAGTAATTATTGGGTCCAAACTGACGTCAACTATAACAGATAGGACAAAAGTATTTGATAAACTTGATCAAAATATTATGATACAGAAACTCTGCGTATTTGGTCTTTCTAATAGTTCTATTACACTTTTTCAATCGTATCTCTCTCAAAGAACACAATATGTTCAATTAAATGGATTAAAGTCTAACAAATATTGCACTACCATATACCGCAAGGTTCATATTTGGGTCCGCTGTCATTTAATATTTTTATCAACGACATTGGTGACACTAGAGGTTTGTTCCAACACGCGCGAAAACCGTAATATTACCGTACAAATCGTGCGCTCAACCCAAAAATTGTATACAGCACATGATTTGTACGGTAATATTACGGTTTTTGTGCGTGTTTGAACAGAACTTATAAATGTTGATTATTTGCTGTATGTTGATCACTGAAAAATATATTCAGCTAATGAAAATATTTCTGACTGTGAACGATTGTCGGAAAATTTAAACAAAGTTGTTGAATGATGCAACAAAAATGGTCTTACACTGAATCCCGTCAAATGTAACGTAATGTGATACACATTAAAAGCGCATCCAATTATATTCGATTATGTCCTTAATAGACGTTTGCAATTTTATGGATTTAGAGGTTACATTTGACCCAAAATTGTCTTTCAAATACCACATAGATAACATTTCAACAGCAGCAAACCGTATGTATTGATTCATAGTACGAGTGGGCCGTGAGTTTAAAAAAACAGATACTATTAAATTACTGTATTTCTCATTTGTTCGATCTAAACTCGAATACGTCTCATTTATTTGGGATCCATATTATCGAATACATATATGTCGGATAAAGTCCATACAAAGGCGTTTCCCTAAATATTTAAATTTTCGAGCAGACCAAATTTATCCACCGATTGGTATTACTCAAAATGTTTTACTGACCAGACAAAGATTGACAAGTTTTGACGTAAGACGGAAGAACTTCTTAATAATTACCCTCTACAAAGTTGTTAATTTTAAAATAAATTGTGAAGCTCTTTTAC